CACATTAGCAAGAATTAATCTCAGATATCTATGAGCCTGGTTGTGGACTATATGCACTCCAGGCAAGCACAGTCTTGACTTACTCATCATGGTTCCCCAAGAGGTCTTAGCCTCACTTACTTGGTTTGTGTGGGTACCTTCAACTCCCACTTTCAACAAAGACTATGACCATGGGTGCATCCTTCTTAGGTTGGGGAGCAAATGTGGAAGGGCAGGTTTCTCAAGGGACATGATCTCTGCAGGAGTCTATGCTTAATATCAGCATTTTGGAACTAAGAGCCGTCAGACCGCCCTGTGAGTAATTCCTCCTGCCCAACTGCAGCCAGTCAGTCCAAGTATTATTAAACAACATTATGGCAGTCTGCTATGTCAACAGCTGTGTGAGGAGGCCATTGACCTTGGAATTGGTACATTCCCATGTAGATTACCCTGATCGCCACTGACCTTCCAGGAATCCAATCACCCTGGCAGACTCTCTAAGCAGATATTTCTCCACAGAAAACTAGTGGAAAGCTGCATGACATGACTCTTCACATGGTGTTTTAGGTGTGGCGACTTGGATCCAGGATCTCTTTGCATCCCGTGTGAACAGCAAGTGCAAAAGAGTTCTGTTCTGGGGGGACGGGGCGGGGGTTGCACCGTTGGCTCTCGGGGTGACGCTTTCCTCAGACAATGATCAGGACCTGTGAGGTATGTCTTCCCTGACTCCTTCATTACCACGGATTTTGAGGAAAATCAGACAGGACAAGATGTGAGAGATTTGGATCACACAGGGGTGGGCCCGTCAGTTCTGGTACTCTATGCTTTTGCAGCTGTCAGCCTGGCCTCCTTCCCATTTCCCTTAACTCAGGATGAGGGGGGGACTTATCACTTACAACCCCCTCACACTTTTCATGAGGGCATGGTATTTGGATGGATGTCAGCATTAGAAAAGGCCTATTCAGCTGATGTCCAGGGCATCCTGAGCAGTGGCAGAAAGGACTGCCAGGAAATGTTACAAAGCAAAATGGGGGAAAAAATGTTTTGGTGTGATCAATCAGGAATTTCCTCTTTACAAAAACACATTCTGGATGCATTGTACTACTTCATAGCCTTAAAATCCCTGGGGTATTTATTAGCTCCTTCAGAATACACCTTACAGCCCTCATGAAGTTCCATCTGTCAGTAGAGGGCTATTCTGTTTTTTCTCATCCAGACATTTCCTGCTCCTTGAAAGGTATGATTTAGAACCCTGGATGAACAAAGTGATAAGTGGCCTTGGCAAGAGATGGCTTTTACTCTGTGGCCCTACTAGCCTATCCAGAAAGTGAAACTGACCAGTTATCAATTTCACAGTGCTCCAAAGATGCATTGAGCTGGACAGGAAGTGAAAGTGACAAACTTACTTGTCAGTTCTGCTGTGCTGCTTTGATGGCACATAGAATCAAGTAGCAGACATCAGAAAGCAGAGGAGGGGATTTGTGGCAGAGCTTAGGGTTGATAAGAATGAGGCAGGTGGAAAGGGCTGAGTGAAGGGAATATAGATTGTGGTGTCTTTGGCATAGAAGTGACCCCCACACTTAATTCCTAGTTTCCAAGGCCAGATGGGACCATTGTGATCATCTAGTCTGATCTCATGTATAACACAGGTCATAGAACTTCTCCAAAATAATTCCTAGAGCAGATCTTCTAGGAAAAAAATCCCATCTTCATTTTAAAAATTGCCAATCATGGAAAATATACCACAACCCTTGGTACTTTGTTCTAATAGTTAATTACCCTCACTGTTAAAAATGTATGCCTTATTGCCAGTCTGTATTTGCCTAATTTCAAAGTGAATTTAGAAGGGAATTGCCAAGGGATGAGATAGAGAAGGGATTTAACGACACTCCTTAAAGAGGTCTAGTGGCAGAGAAGCCTCTATTGATTGCATTGACTGTAAAGATAGGAGTTAAACCAAAAGAGCAAGGACATGCCCAATATGCCAATACCCTGTGCCAGGGCATTGAGAAGGAGGCAACTGGGTGACAGGGTGAAATGCAGCACTGAGCTGAAGAAGGATGAGGAGAGAGAAGGAGCCAGGGCCACACACAAAGTGAGAGTGGGAATCAAGGCCAGAAGAGAGGAAAGTTCTTCACCACCAAGAACAACACAAACCCACTATCTTTAGCCATCATCTCAGTGCTTAAAGAGTGGTAGCCACAGGGCAAACAAGGTTGTTCTGAGAGATAGGTTTTCTGTATCCACTCAAGCTTCAGGGTGGGGGACCCAAATTTCTGAACCTCTGTGTGGCAGCCCAAGGCTGGGTTTCTGGACTGGCCACATTTTATCATTTACTGAAGTGATTGGAGCACTTTTCTTTGGCCAATGCTCAGCTGTCAGACAGTTGACAAATCTCCCACACCAGGGAGCTGTCTGTGTGCAGTGTAGATGGCTTTGACTGCTAGTGCCAGATGGATTTTTTACACACACACACACACACACACACACACACACACACCAGTTCCATTGCAGAGTCGGCCATTGATAGTGGAGGTGCAGAGTGAGGGCAGTCGGCTTCAGCAGTGTTCCTGAACATGCTCAATCTGTGTGAGCATGATCAGTACAAGCCAAGGAGCAAATCTGGGGAGGAGAGGAGGGTTGTCACGTGAAGTCACATGCCACCGCATGTGTCACCTCTGCATCTGTTTTCATGCTAACCCACCTGCTGAGTATACAAACTCAGGACACAGTGCAGGCTGACACTGGCAGATCCTGTGTACGTTGCTCAACCTCCAGTATTGTTTAAAACAATCTTAGAGCCGTTTGCAGTGGGCCTGCCTTCTCACTGGTATATGGTATATTCAGGTGTTCTCCATAGTTCAGGGGTTCTCGAACTGGGGGTTGTGACCCTGAAAGGGGTCACAAGGTTATTACTTGGGGGTTGCGAGTACATGGACAAAACAGAGAGCAGCAACCTCTATAAAATATATAATCTAGTGTTTTAGAAAATTGTACACACCTTTCCATCGCAATGTAATGTATTTACTTCAAAAAGTATTGTAAATGTATAATGCAGCGATCCTTGTTCCTAAACAAAATATTTAATTGTATTATTACCACTTTAAAGGAATTGGACTCTGGGGATTGTAGATAACAAACGCAGGTTTGTTGTCTTGTGACTAAAAAGTGGGACTGAGACACCATTAGAGGGCTTGATTGTTCAGCAGCTGAAGAGCTGCATTAAACCACAGATCAATCAGAATACCGAGATCGGCAAAAAAAAAGTAATTTATAATTTAACACTCAGCCATACAGGCAGGGATGGCTTGGGGGGGGGAGACAGAATTGTGGGGGGCTATAGCCCCTCAAAAAAAATTGCCTTAGCTCCCCCATAGCTACCCTTCCCAGTGCAAAGGTCAAATGTTATGCAGAAGTAAGGGTGGCATGGTATAGCATTGCCACTCTTACTTCTACTGTTCTGCGCTGCTGCTGGCAGCGGCACTGCCTTCGGAAATGGGTGCCCAGCCAGCAGCTGCCACTCTCTGGCCGCCCAGCTCTGAAGGCAGCGCCACTGCCAGCAGCAGCGCAGAAGTAAGGGTGGCTGTGGGGGTGCTAAGTCTGCTGTGAAAAATGATATTGGCAAAGTTTCTTTGCATTACTCTTCCCCCATTATTAAACAGTATTAAACTATTTTGAAAAAATAACTTTTTTGCTTATAACAATAATTTGATAAAAAATGTGTTTTAGTCTTAGTTTAAAAGCAGTGAGAAAAGGTAAATTAATTTTAAACAATAGGGTTATAAATTTAGCATTTAAAAATAGTATTAAATATAAAAAATGTGTTTTTAATTAATAAGAGGGGGGTCTCACTCAGGCTTGCTATCTGAAAGGGGTCGCGAATACAAAAAGTTTGAGAACCACTGCTACAGTGTCTCTCTCACACTCAGATTCACCCACCCCCTCATCTCTTGCCCTGGTTCTAGCAAGGAGTCACATCACTGCACTTCCAATCTAGAAAGGAAACACTCCAAGAAATATTTTTTACTGCAGCAGCCTCAAAGAGGAAGCACTTATGCCAGTCCTGCTAAATTCCATTGAAACTGACACTTTCAAACGGAAAATATCAATTTTGATACTTTTTAAAAATCATTTTTCCAAAGCAACATTTCAAAATGAAATGAAACATTTTGAATTAAAATGTTTCTTTAAGTGGAAATGTTAATTTGAAATGAAATTTTTCAGTTTGAAACTAAATGTTTTGGTTCGAAATGACGTTTTGTTTTGATTGAAAATGTTGTCCTTTCATTTTGATGTTTCCAAATTGAAATATTTTTATAACTCTTCATTCCGTGAAAATATTTGATAGTCTGACTTTTTTGTCCTGATTCAGGATGAAAATAAATATGAAAATCAGCAGCATGTCCCACAAGATGGGAATTCTGTTTTCCAACCAACTGTAATCAGTTTGTAGCCCCTGTTCTGGCTCTTCCAAATACATTCCCTCCCACCCTCCAGTCCTCCTCATCTGCCTCTCTGAATCTTCAGCCACAGTGTAAGAAAGGGAACCAGGGAAGCTGGTGAAGGTAATGAATTGTAGCCCGCAGTGGGGGTCAGGGTCAGTCTGGGGCCTTGCAGGGCCCTGTGCAAAGAAAGACCAGCAGGACCCGGCAATCTGGTTATGCAGTGCGCGTACAGCTAATACAGTGAGAGGGAGGGCAGCTTCCTTCCACTTTCTGCTCTCTGGCTTGTAATCCCAGAGTTAAGGGGTTTTACTGGCCCTGCGAGGAAATTGAATGGCTGAGTGAGTGGAACTCTGAAAACCATGACTTGCTGAACATTGCGCACTGCATCATGGCCTCAGACCCAGCCTGGGGGGTTGGATGTTACTGGAGTTAACCAGATGCTTTGGTTTGTCTTTGGGGGTCGTGTAGCCAAATCACTGTTGTCGCTGTGGTGCAGTAGATGGTGTATCCCTTCTCCCACCGTAGGGTTTGTTTTTCAAAAAGTTTATTTTCCCCCTTTTTTTTTATTTGTTCCAGAAACGGGTTCTCTTTCTCACTAATGATTATTTCTTCACTGACATCAGTAGCACGCCTTTCAGGTGAGCTAGTGTGTGTCAACTCAGGGATGTACCGCTCGGGGTGGGGGCGTGGCTATTTGGTCCCTCCTTCTCATGATATTGGCTATGACAGAGGGGTTCCTTGCTCCCTTGTATTGGAGTTCAGATACTCTTACTGCTCGCTTGGGGATGTTCTTTTGTAAATAAGAGAGGAGAGAGCTGATGGCATTGGGGATCATAGCTCACTTCTCAGGGAGGGCAGTGTCAGATGTAAACATCTGGGGATTGCACGTGACCTTGTTGACAAACCCTCTGTTTTCCCCCTGCCTGCAGCCTGGGTGTCGTCCTCTCCCGTGGGCATGGGGAATACATCCTGCTGGGGAACACTTCAGTGGAAGAAGGTAAGTTAACCTGAAACAGCCACATCTCTGTAGAGGGCAAGGATGCTGAACTTTGTTGGCATCCCAGGGATGAGCTTGTGCCTCCCTCTCTTCTCTGTCCCCCACCTCACCCTCTCAGCCTTTCTGTGCATTTGGTTCATTGATTGATCAATAGACTTATTGGTTGCTTTCTTGTTTCAGGCTTGCACGACCTGCTGCAGCCAGACTTGACCTTAGCTAATGAATGGTAAGTAGATGGTATCCTATTAATGATGGAGCTTTGTGTTAAGATCACTGGCAGAGTTTGCTCTGCTCTCCCACCCTCCTGGCTTTGAGGAAAAGCAATGTTATTCTGAAGTAACTGATGGTGCCAGAGTTTGGTGCAAGCTCCTGAGACTTCCATCACTTTCTTTGGCAGATTATTCTACAGTCTGACCCATCTCACTGTCCAGAAAGATATCCTGATATACTCCCTAAATTCTCCTTTGCACAATCTCATCCTATTCCTGCCTAGAACTGTGCAACAAACCATAAATCACACAAAACTTAGTGAGGTGGGATTTTGTTGCAAGGTCAGATTACTCTCAGTGAGAAATCAGCTTGGTTCCCATGCCTTTTAAATGAGCCTGGATGTGGTTTCTAGTGAACCTGGAGTTGACTTTATTAATGCAAAATCATATCATGCAAAATTTGTGCTTTTGCTTGGTTTGGCCATGAAACAAAATGAAGCTTGGCATTTTCAACTTTTGCTTTGAGATTTGGGATTTGTGTGTACCTGAAACTCAGCATTAAACTTGGGCATGTGAACCTCAAATGGATCAAAACTAAAGCAATTATTTACAAGAAGCACTGCAAAAAAACCTAATTTATTATACCCTAGTTAAAACCCCTCAAACCGCCTTGAACAGCATCTCTTCCTCCTTCAGTTTCATGCACAGTTAACATATATACTTAAGTCATCTGTTCACCAGCTTTATATAGTCACTTCTTTTAGTCTTGCCTCATAAACCATTCCTTCAAGTTCCTTAATAATTTGTGTTTTTTCTTTATACCCCTCCAATCTGACATAGAAGTGGCCAGAACTGAAAGCAATATTAGATGGCTGGTCTCTTGTGAAATACAGAGAACTGATCACCTCCCACCTCTGCATCCTGATGCCTCTGCATATGCAGCCCATTAGTTTATCTTGCCACCATATCACATTGCAAGCTTGTTCACTGTCTAGTTATCTGTCTTCTTTGGCATTGCTGCTTTCCAGGTTTCTCCATCATACTGAATATTGTTATAAGCAGGCTAGTGTATATGTTACCATTGCCCTTTGCTAGGTGAAATTAGAACTGCTCTGCTGTGTGTCAGAGGAACTATGCTGCTAACGAAGATGCTTCTTTAGTGCAAGTGGTATCATCCTGTGCTGTTTTTAACAGGAGGAGCTGAGTTTGATCCATGCTGTTGTTGTTAAGTTCTGAGCACCCATGGAGTGCAGCATAGTGACAACTGAAATTCCTAGGTGGCCAAGGATTTGTTACAATATTTTTTTCCAGATCTCTATTTTCCTTGTGTGTTTGCTTGAAAATGATTTTCTGTGTTTCTTTCCTTGCCGCCAGGATTTACTGCATCACCGATATTGATCCAGATCACCGGAAGCTCAGCCAGCTGGAGGCCATGATCCGCTTCCTCACAGGAGAGGAATCCGATCTGGAATGTGAGAGCTGGAAATGAAAGTGACCTACTGGAGCTCTCCTGTGCCTCTCCACGGTGGAGAAGGGCTGCGGGAAGCTGAGTGGTGGTAGACGGAACTCATGCGCTCTATGCTCATATCTGCAGAGCTGAGTTCAAACACTTGCTCACTTCACAAGTGGCAATAAATTGAGTGGCCACATCCTAATCCCCAGCAAATGATTGTCCCCAGCAAACTACCACAAAATTAAACCTGATTGAATGTCTCTGTTAAGGAGAGATCCAGGCCTGTATTAGCTAGGGGTGCTGTAGGCCATGTTTGACAGAGCTGTGCGGAGAGCCAGGAAAGAAAGAGTGCCTGTGTGTAGTTCAGAGCTGTGTAGTCCTAAAACAATAGTAATTACATTATTTGTATTGTGGTAGATCCCAAAGGCCCTATTCAGAGCTGGGGTACCATTGTGTTTGGCCTTCCCTCAAACACAAGATAAAAGGCAAGCTCTGCCTTACTTCATATTCAGTCATTAGCTCTTTAGGGTAGACGAAGTGGTTGTGATGAACCAAGGAGAGAAATGAACAAGGGAGGACAAATGTCATGAAAAGATCACGTGGATTCATAGGTTAGATATTGCACTACTTGATGTGCCCTGACAGTTTCAAATCATCTGAAAGTATGTTTGGGTTTTCTTTGGGTTTTGAATTAAATTAAATCAAGTATCCCCAACTGCTGGTCTACCTGCACATTGTTAGCTGGTTGATGTGTTGTAAATATCAGCACAGAAGTGCATCTCGAGGAGGGATGTGAGGGAGGGAAGAGTAGTGGCCTTATTGTTCAAGTCAGAGGGTGCTCTATGAATGAGAGGTAGCATAGAAGAAAGCACAAAGATCTTTGTGGGACATGCAGATAAATGGCTGTTCAAAACTGGTATAATTGGTGGCATGAAGAATGCAGGAATGATGCTATAAGAGTCAAGAGCAAATAAGCAGGGAAGGGCAGTGTAGTGAAGGGCATTAAGGGTGAAGACAAGAAGTTTGAACTTGTTGACGTAGGAAGGGGGAGCCAGTGGAGGGATTCAGAGGAAGAAGGGAGGGTGTAACACAGAATTATGGGAAAGGTCAATGAAAGGCTGTCTTAGTGGCTTTGTTTTGAATGGACTGGACTGGAAGGAAGTGAGATGTGTCAAAGAGGAGAATGAGGTAGATGATAAGGACCTGGGTGAAAGTTTTAGCTGTGTGGACAGAAAGAAAAGTTCAGATTTTGGATTTGCAATGGAGGATGAAGCAGCTGGATTTGGACATGACCTGAATGTGTTATGTAAAGGAGAGGGAGGAGTCAAAGATGACCCCAGCTTACAGGTCTCTGTGACAGGGAGAAGAGGGTCTTGTCAATAATAGCAGAAACCGGGGGAAGTGGGGAGAGTTTTAAGGAAAGATAAGGGGTTCAGTTTTGGCCATGTTAGGTTTAAGCTAATGGTGAGGCATCCAGGAGGAGATGTCAGGCAGACTGAAAAAAGGGACAGAGTAGATGGACAGAAGTCAGGACTGAGGAAGAATATTTGCAAGTCAATGGCATGAAGATGGTGAGGAAGCTATCTAAGGTAGATGAGATCTCCCAAAGTAAAGCTTTAGAGTGAGAAGAAAAAGGGGCTAAGAATGGAGCCCTGTGGGATCTTCCAGGAGAATGGAGGAGGACCACCCACTTAACATAGGGCACAGAGGCTTTGTCTAGACTAGGATTTAATGGTGTGTTGTTAGATGGTGTTAGGTAACACACTCCAAAAGTCTAGTGTGGATAAACCAGTGTAGATTTTAATATGTGCCAAGCAGGTCAAGTTAAAGCTTAGGCTCAGCTGCCTTGTCCACACCAGATTTTACAACTGTTTAGCAAGTATTAGCAAACTCCTTCCAACAACACATCTTTACATCCACATCTAGAAAAAGCCTAGAGGAACAGCCAAAGAGTAGGAAAACTAGGAGAGGACAGCATCCCTGAAGCCTGGTGCGGACAAGATTTCAAATTTCAAGAAGGAGGGTGTGATCCACTGTCAAAAGCAGAGAGGTCAGAGTGGACAGGAATGGCGTGGAGGTCCTGAGATTTGGCCACAGAGAGATCATTCGAGACTTTCGTGAAGGCAGCTTGAGTGAAGTGGAGTGGGCAGAAGCTTGATTAGAGGGGACCCAGAACTGAGGGAGAGGGAGTCAAGGCCACAGTTGTTGACTGCCTGTTCAGTGGGTTCAGGGGTGAAGGCCAAAAGGGAGGGGGAATAAATAATTCTTTTGACGCTGTTTTGTTTGCTCAGCCTTTCAACCCCTCAAGCTTTTGGGCTGACAGAGGGTGACCTCTGACCCTGTGTATAGAGCGACCAGTGTGCTGAACTGCCGTGTGAAAGTGACCACCGGAACCCCAGAGTCTGGGTCATTGCCACTCATGTACAGCATGGTGGTGAGCTGCCCTTACTGTAATGCTGTGTGCATGACTGCTGCTAGACAGTCTGTGGGAGTGGCTTGGTCACACCCTGGTGAGAGTTGCCATGCTGTCCTCTCAGCCAGAGGTGAGGCACCCCGGGATGGTCAGCAGATGCAAGTGGGGTCTTCTTTTTATTCACTGTTGTTCAACCCACTAGACCACAAGGTAGGTCAGTAACATTGCTGCTCTAAAGGATATCTAGGAGGCAGAGGGATGACGCCATTCTCACACCTCATCATGTTTGGGTTTTTTGCTCAGGTGATGAGGACTTGGTCCAGGAGGTGCTGTTTGATGCTGTGGTAACTGCGCCAATGGAGGCCTATTGGACAGCCTTAGCCTTCAATATGTCTGAGTAAGCATATGTGAAAACACAGCTGAAATTAATTCAGATCCCATGGTCTTCTTGGGAGTTTGGACAGGGTCTCCTGATTCCCTGGTGGAAGCTCTGTGGCCAAGTTGAAGGAGCAGCTTGATTCCCTTTGTCCCATAGAGCCCATAATAGATCCTTACATAGCACTAAGCTGACCACAGAAACAGAAACCTCCTTCCAAGGAGGAAGAATCTCACTTTTGAGGTATTGGTAATAGATACAGAAACTTACACTTCAAAGTTATGAGTTCAAATCTCACCCAAGGACAGTAGTGACTAAACTTTGTTACCATGTGACAACCGTTCCTTGAACTACATAAAGTGAATTGGGCTGAGTCCAGCTTCTACTGTATCACAAAAAATATTATCCCAGCTGGCACTAGTCGGCTCTCTTACTGACACTAAAGCCAAGGATTGAATGGGCCATGGAAATTGACCTACCTGACACACTTATGGATGGTGCCATCAGATCAGGGTTGAGGTACACAGATGGAAGCTTGGACTGCTGCTGCCAGGACTGAGAAGGGATATAAATCTAGAGGGTCTTGCCTCCACTTGGGATTTTTTTGGAGGCAAAATTTTACCATGGCTGCTACCACCTGGGCATCTAGGGCCACTAGCACTTTAACACTGTGTTGTTCAGATCTACTTGCAGCATGTGTTATAAAAATGGGCAGCCATGGTTTTCTTATCTGCTCTTGGACTCCCATTGGTGGAGTTGAACTAGTGGTAGCAAAGACAGGAAATTTTTGCCAACAAGACCTAGTGTGGACACAGTCTATCATCCAGCACATTCCTCTCACTTAAAAAGACACTGCCCCGTCCATAGCAGCTGGCCCTCTACACTGTGAGCCTCTTCACAACAATGTCAGGTCTATGGTACCCACAACTCCAGCAGGGTCGCCCTGAGCCACTCAGTTATGTCATCCCTCACCATCCCTTAATCTCCCTGTCCCAGACAGAGGTTGGGTTCAGCCCAGGGGGCACACCCATTCTTTCTGAGTAACCCATCTCTCTCCCCAATTCCATATGTAAACAGCCTGCAGCTGGGCGGTCAGTAGTAGAGGACTTTAAGTTCTCTCTGTAAAGGGATAAAATGAACAAATCACACAAGTGTGACTGTGAGAATGAATAGTAAAATCATAATAATCCTAATTCCCGCTCAGATTTTCAAATGTATCAGTTCTGGTGTAACCCCACTGAAGGCAGTGGCATTATATCACAGGTGAATTTGGTCCTAAATGCTTAAGAAACCTCCCGCTCCAATGTGTTGCCCTCTGAATCTCCACTCTGAAGGTCCTTACTACATGGCAGGCTTAGTTTTAGCTCTGAGAACTAATTCTGCCCCTGTGGGTCTCTCTCTCTGTCCCACAGTGAGACTGAGCAGGGGGTCGAGATGGCATTTCTGGGCACTCGAGCTGGCCTCATGAGGAGCCTCCTGTATGTGGGATCTGAGAAACTCTCGAACAGGCAAGTCCTAAAATGAAACTTCACTGAGGAGTTTCTTCTAGTCTCTGTGAAGGAGCAGCATGAAATTGCCACTGTGCCTTCAACAGTATCCAGGGTTACAAAGAGCAGAATGGGAAGCAACCAGGGGTTAGTGGAATGGATCTGTCTGATGTGTCATAAAGGATAGGGCGGGGCACTGTTTTGTGCTTGTTCTGTTTGTTATATGGCAAAAACCTGTCCCAGAATGCACTGGTTTCAATGTAAAATGTAGGCTAATTTTTCTGAGAGACATAATCTTTTCTTTGCTTGTTCCGAAGTCCTGGTCAGGAAATAGAAGGGGTGTTGCCAAGACATTACAGCCAGAAGATTTCCAGTGACACTTTTTATGAGAGTATGTGGGGGGGTATCTTTTGCTTTCGCTTTTGGGCCACGTTCCAACTTGGCTAGTAATATTCTGCCTATCTCAATTCCCCTTGCAGTCTCAATTGCTGGATATTCTATCCTATACAGACTCTTATACTGCCCTCATCATCATAGTATCTGAACACGTTCCGGGGGTGCATTATGCAATGTGACTAACATCTGTCACATGTAGTCACAGTCTCTCTCTCATCCTCTCCCTAGAGGGAGAATTGTGTGTGCAGTGGAGTGTTTTGGCTTGGTAGGATTTTGGTTAGAGTTATTTTAGAGTTATTCAGCTGCTTTGAGTTCCTGTTAGAAAGTAGGCTGAAGAAGTGTGCCCTGCACTTGGAGCAGAAGGTGGTGAAGTTTGTGATGGGCCTTCATTCCTGTGGGAGTTTCTTCCACAGTTTGGGACCAGCCCCTGAGAAGGTTCCATTTCCTGCACAAATGAGCTTCACCCTTATGGCAGAAAGTCCCATTGTACCTGAGGAGCAGACTTGTCAGATATACTTGGCCCAGGCCATTGACTGCTTTGTAGATAGGAAGCAAGACCTTGAACTTGACTCAATATGCTGCGGGAAGGCAGTGTTGATTCCCTGTCCTGTACTGCTGGCACATAACATTTTTCTGTGCTTTTAAAGGGTTGCAGGTGCATCACTCCAGTGGTGGCTGCATTTCAGTGGCGGATTCCTGTGTATTGTATGTAAAGCGCTTCCAAATCTTCTGGAAAGGAAAGAACCATATAAATGACCAGTCATTGCTATGTCAAAATATACAGCAAAAGTAAAGATCTGAAATAAAGAAATTGGGGAGGGGGAGGAAGAAGTGGAGATCTTGCTGGGAAGTCTGTTACCTGGTTATTCCTGGTGCTCCCCGCAGATATGGTTTATGTTATGGCAAGTGCAGAAGCCCATAGATCAATTTTTTTGGTCTGAGAAGCTCCAATGTGTCTCTGGAACTTGGCTGACCTATAAGGGGGGCATCATTTATCCCTTATGACCTCCCTTGCCCTTTTTGACCTGGTCATTAGCTCTGTCTATATCTTGTTTTCTTGATCAGGCAAGACTCAGACCCCTCCCCCATCTCTTTTTCACTGAGCACCGTAGCCAGTTCCTGGTCCTTGACTGAGTCAGAAAACTAGGAGCCTTCATTCCCCCACCACACAAATAAAAGGGCTTCCTTGTGATCTCTTTCACAGCCTCACTCTTGCGCTTGGGAGCTGAATGCATGAATGGGATTAGATATTTTAAAAGGAATTCAGACAGAGGGTAAAATGTTCTAAAGCACCCAAGTCCCATTTTCCAAAGTGATTCAGGCACCTAAGAGCCCAAATCACTTACACACTTTCGAAAATTTTATCCAACATTTTTTTGGTTGGGTAATTAGTCCCACTGGCATAGTAAGTGCAGGCCTCTCATCTGCACAAGGATCCCTGTGATGTCCCCTAAGACATTACCTGGACTAACAGCGTTCCTTTCACCTACACATGGCACCTGTTGATACTTTAATACTACAGCTGTGACCTGTGGTAACTAGATCTCTTCCCCCTGCGTATGGTAACACCTGTTAATACACCCATATTGCAGATGTTAGCTGGAGTAACACAATCCCTACATAATGACAAGTTTCAGAGTAACAGCCTGTCTGTTAGTCTGTATTCTCAAAAAGAATAGGAGTACTTGTGGCACCTTAGAGACTAACCAATTTATTTGAGCATAAGCTTTTGTAAGCTACAGCTCACTTCATCGGATGCATACTGTGGCATCCGATGAAGTGAGCTGTAGCTCACGACAGCTTATGCTCAAATAAATTGGTTAGTCTCTAAGGTGCCACAAGTACTCCTTTTCTTTTTACAATCCCTACAGTGCTACAAATAGATATACTGCTGTTGCAGCTCTGGGCAGGGATACAAGATTGTTCAGAGCTGCAGGGTACCACACAGCACAGATTCTTACTTTGCACTTCCTTGCATCTCCCTTTTTCAGTTTTGTGGCTCATTCTTACCCACAATAGAGATGACTTATGCATGTTAGTGCGGGCCCTAGTGGGATGGACTAAGTGAAGTATGTGCTATCTGCTCACCAAATGGCAGGTAAAGAGTTTCAGCTTCAAGGATAAGGAGTACTTGTGGCACCTTAGAGACTAACCAATTTATTTGAGCATGAGCTTGTTACTTATTAGCTATACCCGTCCCACCTACCACTGGTTATGTGTGGTGGCTGAACAGCCTGTGCTGGCTGGTGATGTGGACAGAGATGTGGACAACAGCACCACCTGGTGACTCAATCTGGAAAAAGTCATAAGATCTATGTGACATGCTGAGCAGAATCCAAGAAGCGAAAAAACTGGGAAATAAGGCTCTTGGTTCATGCAGATAATTCTCTATACGCTCAGATGTGTTCCTAAAGCTAACCACTGTCTTATCTGTCTACAGCAGTAGCATTTGTAAAGCAGCTGCCACCATAGTATTTAGGTGCCTTGTGCCTTATTTAAAAATAATTTTATCTTGCTTGTCTGCAAATGGACCGCTGTATTCTCCTTTTACTGGAGGTGAGAGAATATGGAATATGTAAGGACCAGGTTATATACAGGGGCTGTTACGCTGTATGTGACAGTATATACAACCATCTCTACTGAGGGGGTTAGGTCTTTGCAAAGAGGCGTGACTTGTTCTTAAAAAAGAGGTGTAGGCTCAGCGTGATCTTCTGTAGCCAAGGGTCCGCTGCCTAATTGCACTGTCTTGGCAGACGCAGGATTGACACGAGGCTCTATTAGTTGTAGTGACTCTGTGGACTGGAGAATTCTTGGAAGGTTGCGTAGAGCAGGGGTTCTCAACCGTTTTCTTCCTGAGACCTCCCCCAACATGCTATAAAAACTCCTTGGCCCACCTGTGCCACAACAACTGTTCTTCTGTACATAAAATCCCGGACCAGCATTAGGGGGCAGCAAGCAGGACAACTGCCCAGGACCCCATGCCACAGGGGGCCCCATAAAGCTAAGTTGCTCAGGCTTCAGCTTCAGCCCCAGGTGGCCGGGCCCGGGGCCCTGGGCTTCAGCGCTGCATGGTGGGGCTTCAGCTTTCACCTTGGGCCTCTGCAAGTCTAATACTGGCCCTGCTTGGTGGACCCCCTGACAGGGGCAGTGGAGTCTTCCTAAAAGTAGGGGAACCATGAGGCCATGCCCCCTCCAAAGCCACACCCCTGCCCCTCCTCTTTCCCTGAGGCCCCTGCTTCCTGGCCAAGCCAGAAGCCAGGCCTCAAGAGCTGAAGAGCTGCAGCTGGGCCATGGTAAGAGCCACCCATACAGCTGTGGGGAGCCCTGGGTGGGGAATCCGGGGGGCGGGGACATGGGCCAGGAGCTGCTCTCAGGCCCCACACCCTGGGCAGGTGGAGGATCCGCAGCTCCCCATGGTTGCCCAGGCTCCCTGGGCTGCTCTTACCCGGGCCGAGAGCGGGGACTTGGGGGGAAGAGGAGGGTGCCAGGTTTGTGACGAAAAGTGAATGGCCAGGCCCATCAACTTTCAAAAGTGGGAGGGCCATGAGCCCTTGGTCCCCCTGTTCCGGTGCCCCTGCCCCCTGAAAGCTGCTCCTGGCCCTGGACCCCTGGTTGAGAACTGCTGGCGTAGAGAGACTGTCCTGGTGGTTGTCAGGCCCAGCCCATTGGGAGCTTTGTAGATCAGTACTACAACTCAGATTTAAAGTAACTCTGGGGTGTGATGGATAGTCCATGTAGGGCACTGCACACAACTCTCTTGCCAAGGTGTGTCTCTCAGAGATGAGCTGCAGTGTGCTGGATCAGCTTTCTAGGTATAGGCCATTGGCATAATCTGGCCTAGAAGGCAAAGGCCATTCTGTAATAGTGAGGAAGGAGGCACCAATTTCTTGCCAGTCAGGTGGGAAAATATATTTCTGATAACCTTCCATGCAGCTCCAAATGTGGATTTCTTCCAATGGCTCACGTATAGGTCACACACTCAACATCCCCAGCACCACCAGTGAAGTATCTTGGACATCTTGACTTTATGACTTGTCCCAACCAACTCATTCTTTAAAAATGCTCGAGCCCTTCTTGTGAAAGAAGGGGTGGGAGCCATAATTTCCCAACCTCTGTGCTTGCATGAGTCTTTCTGTCTCTCTCAGTTCTTCCCTGCAGTTTGTTGCACACAGTTAACTTTCTGCCCTGTCACGTACCTGGTGTACCTGTGTGCTGCTAAAGAGCAGCCACCTTCCACCCCAGCAATGACTGCATTTCAGCAGTGGATGAACTGACGGAAGCCTGTGTACAGCATATAATTTGTAAACTGCTCTGGGGTCCTTTGGGGTGAAAGGTGCTATCTGACTGTAAGTTTAGTATGTCACCAGCCTGTAACTATCCTGACGCTGCATTGGTGTCCTGACAATGCTAAGTGCAGAACATCCCCCCAGGCAGGCACTGTGCTGAATGCAGCTGAGGAGGGAGATGTAGGTTTCCCTGTCCCAGATGAAGGTGGCAATTTTCACTTTTTTTTTCTTCCTCACAGGAAGTTCCTGACCCTGGGGGACAAGGAGAGTATCTTCACCATGGATCACTTCCCCCTGTGGTATCGTCGAGCAGCAGAGCATCCTCCAGGGAACTTCATCTACAGCATCACCTCAGAAGAGGGTTCAGGTAACCCTGGCCTTAGCACTACAGCAAAGGAGGGAGGTGGAGAAAATAAATTTGTCACTCACAGTCCCCCGCTGCCTGTCCCCATCCCATTCACCTCATAATCCTCTTCCTGCAAGACTAAGCTCTTACACGAGGGGAGGTGGTGAGAGCCATCCTCAGGCTGCTTATTAGAACAGAAAGAGGGAGACGCCTCACAGCAAGATATGGATAGGAGAGGTGAAGAATGGGTGCCTGGAGGGCTGCAGGGCCTGGAGTAGATGAAGGATGGACGGGGCTGCTGAAAGATGCATGAGTCTGCTGGGCAGGGGAAGACAAGGAATCAAGTGAGGGGAGATGGGAAGGGCTGTGAGGCAAAGTAGAGGAAGGACATGCAGGCTAGCTGGCTGGAATGATTTGAGTGGCAGTCAAGTAGGACGTGAGCAGGGGGCCAGGTGGGAGGAGGCGAAATTTGTCCGGGAGTCACTTTTTCATGGTTTTCCATTAACATTTTCCCAAGTGGGAAAATGAGCTTTTCACAGGGGGAGGGGGAACTTCACTCCCCTCACCAAAAGCATGCCAATGGTCCCCACCAAATACGCTGAGTCTCATGCTGGTTCTGTAGTGTAGGTAGGCATCCCCTCACCCCCTGGAGTCCCAGAGTGACAGCTGACGAGCAGCTTTGCTGTGTCTGTGCTCAGGATGTGATTGTCCCTTATGTGATCTCCAGAGCCTGCAGGGACCTATGCCAGGGTGGAGGAGGACAGGAAAGCACAAGAAGAAAAATCAGAACAAAATACTATGTGACGCTCATGCAATGGAGGCAGAAATCCCCTCCGTGCTCTTCCCCAGCCCCCTGCACTCAGGCACTGTCACGGAGCTCAGCGCTCTCGCTGTAAAAGCTTTTTGTAGCATTGTGGTGGGAGGGTAGGTGGGAGGGGAAGTGAGCAGCACGGAGAAGAAAATGAAGATGGGATCCAGAAGATGAACCAGGATATAAAGGGAGGGGGAGAGAAAACACACTAAACCTTCCATCCGTGCTCTCCTCTCCTCTCCTCCCTCCCCCCCAAGTATACCTCACTTAAAGAGTAACCACTCGAGTGAAGAGCAGAGGTGGCAGTTGTGGCAAGAGGCATCTTCTGCCAGACTATGTGCAACTTTCATTGCTCTTTGCAATAGAGCAGGGCTTAGAAAGTCAGACATTGGCACCCCGCATGGGTGTGACTTCCTGACATCCCTGTAGTAGCTTCCTATCAACATCCAGTGTGAGAACGGTGAGAACAGGTCACATATTAAGTCAGTAGCAGAACTGGAAATAGAACACAGATCTCATGAGTCCCAGTCTAGGGCCTTCACCACACGATCACGCTTCCTGTTTCTACATGAGTTACCCAGCAGGACCAGGAACTTCACATGACCTCCCTCTAGGGAGTTTGATCCTGCATTTGCCGTCTACCCGAATTCCCCACAGGTGTCACAGGGAGTTTTGGGTTCACAAGGAGTGCAGGATCAGGCTCAAAGCATATGAACATCATCTGGCAGGAAAGTCCCTGTGTTTCACAAGTGCTTCTCTCACTGCGTGCAGTGCCCTTGTGCAAGTCAGTCTGACTTCAGTCAAAGAAATCCACACACAACCTCAGGCTAAAACACATAATGCAGCTACAATGTCATGTTCAGGACGCATCAGACACCAACAAGAATGATGAAGGCAGAACTAAGACAATGACAAATGCTGGGACTGGGGGGAAGGACAAAGGACCTACTCCATCTGCTGGGGTAAAGCACTGAACTCTACAGTATGTCGCGAAGGAATGAGTGGCAGAATAAATATGCTCAGAAATACTGACCTTCAAAATGTCCCTGGTAACTGTGAAAAAGAAGCCACAGCCCCTATTTTTTTTGTTTCAAGCAAATCCAATAAAATGAAAAAACCTACAAAACTGGAATTTGTCCCTAGGATAGTTACAGACTAAAATGACTGAATTCAACTGAGGAAATGGCACACTGCCTCAGGTGCAGGTCAGACTACATGGGCAACCATGGTTTTTGTATCCAGTGTGTGGCACAGCGTACACAGGGCCAGATTGTGATGGCCTTTACTTGGAGTTAGGGGGCCAGAATCCTGTTGGAGTTGAGGTCATGGCCTCATTCCTCCTCCATCCTGGCCTGCAGAGTGGGGCTGGGGCACCAGCAGAAGCAACCTGCTCCGTTTTAGTGCACTGTCTTCCATGCACATGTGCAGCCCCAGAAGAGGCTATGCCTACCTGACGTACAACTTCCCCAGTGCCCTTCTGGGACAGGGTACAGGGGCCACAAGGCCCTTTACACAGAGTTGTTCTATAAATGGCACAATCTAGTCCACAGTCTGAATTGTGCCTGCTTTTATGCCTCAGAATAATAGCTGAACCATGTTTGTGCATTCACTCATAGAACACTGCCTAAACGTTGTGTGTGTACCAGTGCATTCTGGGAAAATCTGGGCAGTTAACCTATAGCATCTCAGCAGGAGAAAGCGTAGTGGCCATGCACACAGAAAGGCACAAGTGGCCTGAGGTGCAATGCGCTCTGAGGGTTCCTAGCACCCAGAAAACAAGGAGGAAGAAGGACTGGCTTACTTGTGTGTCGTTCCTCTAGACTTAAATAGGTCTAACTGAACCCTAAACTTGGCCTTACAGTGTAATGACACAACCCTTTTATTCAGACAGGTAAACAAACTTGAGGTGGGCAGGAAGGTTGGCTGAGTCTTGTAGCAGCTTCTCAGGGGGTATGTACTTTCTTATTTTGAGGGCAACATCCTTGCTCTCATGGGCCATTCCACCAAGAGGAAATCTGGGCTCCTGAACTGCCAATCAGGATGCTTCAGTGCTCTGGGAGATGCAGGCTTGAGATTAGAATTGAGCTTTTCAACGTTGGGGCATCCTTTGTACACTATTATCACATGGCCCCCCCACGCACCCAGTCCATGTCAGAGCTGGCTACTTCAGTGATCTCAGTGGTTTTTCTCTGTGGACAGTAAAGAGCTCCTGTGTGTGGTCCCTGGCAACAGAGGGAAAGTAACTGAATCTGCTAAATCTGTGTCTTGACAGAGGGAGGTGGCAAACCAGAGGTGGTGACAGTGAGCACATCTGTTGCTGTGACTGTGGATGGGAAGACAGCTATTGCTGCAGGTAGGCACTGCCAAGAACAGGTTTTTATTTTTTTCTTGAATAAGAGGGTGGCACAATGTCTTGCAGGGAGGAACCTTCCTTACAGTGAGATCTGTTAGCCTGTGGAATTGTCTTCCTAAGAAAGTGGTGGAAACTACATGACTTGTGTTATCGAAAACTGGACTGGACAAAGCACTAGAAAATATACAGCATGGCTCAGTCCTGTGTTGGGCACAGGGAGAGGGAATTGGTGAATTAACAGGGTGAATTCTGGTGCTGATATCTGTGAGTCTATGGATTGGTGCAGTCGTTGACTGTAGAGCAGAAAGCTTACACAGTGGGTAGTTCTGGAGCTTTGAGATCATTGTACTGCCTTTGGGTTGACGAAGTATTTGTGGTGCTTATGCTGAGTTTCAAAAGAATGAGATGTGCCTGTACCTCCAGTATCAGTAGAGCTGGAAACTAACCTTTGTTGATGGAGTGGACATTCTGCTGACTTTGAAATTCTCCTGTAAATTCCCACCATTCCCTGTAAATCTGAGCCTTTTGCTCCCTCTGAATGAGTTTCACTGAATTCCATGTGTGCTATTGGAAGATAATGATCTCACATTTATAGAACACCCAGTCACGTTCTGGGGTGCAATCCAGACCAGTAAGGGGTTGTGTCACTGCCTGCCCTGTAAACAAAATGCTCTTCTGCTGTAGCTGCTTGACTGGATGCTCCAATCAGCAGACAAGCATACACTGAGTGTCTGTGTGTTAAGCAGCCCTGGTGCAACGCTCTGTTTCCAGCAGCCTGCTTGTTATACTGCTGCCACACTCTGGCCTCCACCAGCCTTAGTTACATGTGGCAAGATGGTCCCAACAGCCCCCAGTCCTAAACTTTCCCAAAATCGTGTGTTCTGCAGCAATCAATTCTCTCCTGGACCATTCAGAGAGATAGTTTGTTTGTTCCTTTCAAGGTACAGTACCCAGCAGCTTGCCACATCAACTGGAGTTAACATTCACTTTAAATCAAATGCAGGGCTGGGTTGGTTTAGATTCAAAATAAAACAAGTCTATTAACAAAAGGAGAGGATATTAAGTGAGTTCAAGTATAAAGGATAGAGTTAGAAATTGTTACAAGCACATAAGAATGCTTTCTAGAGGCTAAGACTTAACAGAACAAGCTACAGCCTTTGTTCAAGTTAGTTTCCTTATCAATCTACCTTCCAGCAAGTTGGCTGACCACCCCTCTGGTCAGGATCTCCCAGAAAATCCAAAGTACTCGGTTCACTTGCCTTAGCTGAAAGATAACTTGGTGTTCTTTGCCCCTCTCTTTATAGTCCAGTGCACCTTTGAAATGGATTCTTCTGAAAGTTACCCACCAAAGTAAAGTTCATTCAAGCTCTGAGGAAGGCAACATGGAGTTTCCTGGTGAAGGAGCTTTCATGATGGTTTCTCCTTTCACTGGTGTTTGCTAAAATGCAGATTGATCTGTGTCCTGCCATCTCCTCCCCTTGCTGTAATGTTGGATGGTTGTATCCTCCCCTCCTTGGTTCAATGGTCCTGTTTACCTGATACGTAAATTGCATTCCCATTGTCTGGAAATACCTCTCTGGGGGCAGGATCACATTCTTTTTTCTAAGGTGGGATATAACTTTAGCCCTGCTTGGCAGGCACACTTCAAGAACACAATTCCCAAGATGTTTGTAATGGTGAATTTGCCCTCCGTACACACAATAATATGAATGATCAGTACAGCATTAGCTTTTTATTGATATCTTACATGACACCTTTTAGATACAGGTTATGACATTAGTGGGTTGGGGAATATTAAACTCATCAGGTCAGCTGAAACTCACTACCAGATCCAATGAGCTCCTTGCCCTCTGACTTTAGGATGCTGGTAGGGTCACCCGCTTTTTATTCCAAAAGGTCCCAAACTGCTATATAAAATCTACAATTATCCAGTACTTACCACTGAAATGCAGCCACCTCTGGGGTGAATTGGAACAGCTGTTTAACTAACCAGAGCAATTCTAAACAATTTACAATACTTACCACATCCCGCTGAAACTGCAGAGGTAATTTAAGGTGTCTCTTGGTAGTTTCTGTTGTGCTTAAGATAAAATTAGGAAAATTTAGTTTAAATGTTGGGGGAAATTTTATAACTTGAACAACAGTTCAGTTCAGTAATGGAACAAGCTGCCAAAACAGGTTATAGAGTCACTGTAACCAGAGACATTCCGAGGTTGACTACCATCTACCAAAGTTTGTTTAAGATCATTAAATCAAACATGATATAATCCAGGAAGGTGGACTAGGCGGCCCATTAGGTGTAGCTTCTAACTCAAAGGATTTTTTTTCAGTTTCCATCAGTCTTACTTCTTCTTCTTCTTTTTTTTTTAAAGTAGATGGGCTGCCATTGAAATCCATCAGAGACTCTGCTTCTCCTCTGTGATCAGAGTGAGATGACATGGTGGTAAAAATGCTAGTGTCCTGTTTACAGTAGCATTTTGTACTGATACTGTGTAAGAAGATCACTAGCACAGCCAAGGTTGCTTTTATCCATACTGGATAAAGAGTGCAAGGGACAGGCCCTCAGCTGGTGTAAATTATGATGGTTCCATTGAAGTCAATAGAACTGTGACTGTTTACACCATGTGAGGGGCTGTCCCTCAAAGTTTTCAGTCGTTCAATATAATTATTGAGGTTGAGAACACAAAAACGGCCATACTGGGCCAGACCAATGGTCCACCTAGCCCAGGATCCTGTCTTTCAACAGTGGCCAGTGCCCAAGCTTCAGGTGGAGCGTACAGAACAGGGCATTACTGTCCCAGTCTTACCCTCCCAGGTTCTAGCAGTCAGGCTTTAGGGTTGCCTAGAGCATTGGGTTTTGTCCCTGACCACCTTGGCTAATAGCCATTGATGGACCTATCCTCCGTGAACTTATCTAGTCCTTTTATTAACCCAGATATACTTTGAGCCATTACAACATCCCGTGGCAATGAGTTCCATGGATTAGTTGTCTTGTGTGAAAAGTACTTCCACTTATTTGTATTAAACCTGCTGCCTATTAATTTCATCGGGTGACCCCTGGTTTTTGTATTCTGGGGAAGGGTAAATAACACTTCTGTGTTCATTTTTTCCACACTGTTCTTGATTTTATAGACCTCTATCATACCTTAATTGTATGTTTTCTAAGATGAGCAGGTATAATCTTTTTAGTTTCTCCTCATATTGAAGCCATTCCATGTCCTTGATCATCTTTGTTGCCTTCTCTGAAATGTTGCAAGTTCCACTATATTCTTTTTGAGAAGGGGTGACCAGAATCACTATGATTTCAAGATCTCTTTCTTGAGCAGTAACAGCTAATTTAGAATATACACACCATTGTATATGTGTAGTTGGGATTATTTTTTCCAATGTGCATTACTTTGCATTTATCAATTTGAATTTCATCTGCCATTTTGTTGTCAGTCACTCAGTTTTGTGAGATTCCCCTGTAACTGTTCACAGCCAGCTTTGGCTTAACTATCTTGAATAATTTTGTATCTTCTGCAAACTCTGCCACTTCACTGTTCACTCTCTTTTCAAAACCATGAGTGAGTAAATTGAACAGCACAGGTCCCAGCGCAGATCCGTGGGGTTCTCCGCTGTTTACCTTTCTTGATTGTGAAAATTCACCATTTATTCCTACTCTTTGGTTCCTACTTTTAACCAATTATTGACCCATGAGAGGACCTTCTCTCTTATCCCATGTCTTCTTTGAGTGCTCCTTTAGCACCTTGGTCATCTAGTGAGCCCACTGCCTGTTTGTCAGGTTTTCTGCTTCTGATGTACTTAAAAATAATTCTCACTGTTAGTTGTTGCGTCGTTAGCAAGTTGCTTCTCAAATACTTTCTTAGGCAACATTGTTATACTTAACCTGTCAGAGTTTGTGCTCCTTCATATTATCCTCACTAAGTTTTGACTTCCAAATTTTAAAGGATGCCTTTTTGCCTCAAATGGCCTTCACTACTCTTCTGTTTATCAACGGTGGCATTCTTTTGGTCCTTTTGTTGTCTTTTCTGATTTGGAGTATACGTTTATTCCGAGTATCTATTATGGTGTTTTTAAATAGCCCCCATGCTGTTTGTAATGGAATGCTAAACTGTTCAGCCACTTGGAAAAATACCTTATTTAAGCTAACGTCAGCCATATCTGACAGAACATCAAAGGATTTTATGATGAACAACTCTGGTGTGTATCTCACTCAGAAGAAAGTTCTGTAGCCAGTCTATATCTGGCACAGCAACATGACCTGGTGGCAGAAGTAAACTAGAGTCAGAGAAGAAAAGAAACAGAAGGAAAACAGCAACAAAGCTTGCAGATAGAAGGAACAAAGCAACAAACGTTGCAGGATTTCATCAACATGCCACTCTTCAATGCCCCAGAGAATTACAGCTTTAACAAATGTTAGGGGGTAGCCATGTTAGTCTGTATCCACAAAAACAGCAAAGAGTCCGGTGGCACCTTAAAGACTAGCAGATGTATCTGAGCACAAGCTTTCGTGCATCTGAAGAAGTGAGTTTTTTACCCACGAAAGTTTATGCTTAAATAAATCTGTAAGTCTTTAAGGTGCCACTGGACTCCTTGTTAGCTTTAACAAACTTTCACACTGGACATACTGGAAGCTATATTTTGCAAGATTTCAAATTGAAAACCAGCTCCACAGAGAAACTGGAGATATACCTGTATCTTATTTTATGCTATGGGGAAGCAGGCAGAGCTTAGCTTTAAATCATTTGACTTTAATGAAGACTGTCACAAAGATGACTATGAAAGGGTTTGATTCATACTTTATACCTAAGAGTACATACCTGGCTATGTTTGATTCATACTTTATACCTCAGAGAAATGTGGTTTATGAAAGAGCATGTTTTGACCAGATAATTCAAGAACCAGGGGAAAATGTTAAATGTTTTATAAGAGCTCTGCATACGTTGGCTGAAAACTGTGATTTGGGGAATGCAAAATATGAAAATATCAGAGACAGG